TCCTGACTCGGCCCCAGACACACTGACCAGATGTTTGGAAGCTGTGGCTGGATGGTTACGTGGGAGCCGGTTGAAGCTAAATCCTTCGAAGACAGAGGTCCTGTGGCTGGGACGGAACGATATGGAATTGGGGGGGCAACTCCCATCTCTTGTGGGGGCGCAATTAGTGCCAGCACCGTCCGTTAAGAGTTTGGGTGTAATCTTCGACACCTCCCTTTCCATGGAGGCGCAGATTGCAGCTATAACAAAGGCGGCATTTTTCCATCTCCGCCAAGCTAAGCAGTTGGCTCCTTACCTCTCTCGCCCTGACCTTGCCACTGTGATCCACGCGACGGTCACCTCCAGACTGGATTATTGTAACTCGCTCTATGTGGGGCTGCCCTTGAGACTGACCCAGAAACTCCAGCGGGTGCAGAATGCTGCAGCGAGACTCCTTATGGGGAGATCACATTCACCCGGTGCTATACCAGCTGCACTGGCTCCCAGTGGGGTACAGGATCAGGTTTAAGGTGCTGGTTTTAACATTTAAAGCCCTATACGGCCTAGGACCCTCGTACCTACGGGACCGCCTCTCCTGGTATGCCCCACAGAGAAACTTACGGTCTTCAAATAAAAACATCTTGAAGGTCCCAGGCCACAGAGAAGTTAGGCTGGCCTCAACTAGAGCCAGGGCTTTTTCGGCTGTGGCTCCGATCTGGTGGAACACTCTGTCACAAGAGACTAGGGCCCTGCGGGACTTGACATCTTTCCGCAGGGCCTGCAAGACAGAGATGTTCCACCAGGCCTTTGGCCAGGGCACAGCCTGACTCCCTCCCTCGGCAATCTTCGCGGAGCTCTGGCCCAATGGTTGCCAGTGGCTTGATTTGAATTAATTTTATAATGAATGATTTTAGAGTGTTGTTTGTGCTGTACTTTTGTACTGTTTTATTGTTGTTAGCCGCCCTGAGCCCGGCTTCGGCTGGGGAGGGCGGGATATAAATAAAATTTATTATTAAATTTATTATTACTCCTCAAAGCACAGAGAATGGCAATGAATGCTAGGTACCACAAGAGGGGGCTGAAGTGCAGCATAGGCTTGAAGGAAGTAGGTTTATTAAGTGTATTCCCAGCAGAAACCTCACCTTTTGTCCTAGGGCTAGGATTGGCAAATATGGTCAGTGCTGGAGTACAGTTTAGGAAGAGAAGCTGCTTCTAAATTGCATGGCTGTGTTACATTCAGATAACATTTCATTTGCATTTCATTTTCTTGAAGCTGGTAGATCATCTGGTGGCTATTTTGCACATTAATATACAGTAAATCATATGTAAACAGACCTACACCTTCTGTGGTAAGCGGTTCATGGGAAGTACAGAAGTGGCTGAGTCAGAGTTAGTCAGCCACCCCATGCCACGCTCACTTTCCTGGGAAAAAGACCAAACAATAGTTTAGGTTAGCTGTGGGGAACTTTGAAAGGTAGGGTTTAAAATGTGTGTGGGGAAAACAGTAGTAAGCTTTTTATATATATAAAATGATCGTTAGTTTCCAAGCTATTTTTATTACTAGAAGACTAATCTCGGCATTGGCAAACCACCAGCTTTCAAAATCACCTTATTGTTCATAGCAAGATTTTGCCGATTACACTTCAGCTGTGTCAGTTTCTATTAAGCTAGGAAAATCCTCATCAGCTCCAATCATCTGGTGAGGGAAAGTCTGAACAAAGAAGCATCTAAAATGGTCAAGGGCATGAAGCGATTTGTCCTATACATCCATCTTTGCACCATATTTTAGTTATTTTTTAAAAAAATGAAAATGCTTGGATCACTTTTTTGTAGAAAATGTGCAGCGTGGTGTACTGTGAAACAGCAGAGAATATGAAAACTCTCATCCCACACATTATTTACTATAGTTTGTTATTATTATTTGTTTCATTTCTATACGGCTTTGTTTTTAAGGAAAAAAATAGTTGGATTTTTTGCTTTTGTTCTTGCATTAGTAAAGGTATAGGGACCCCTGACTATTAGGTCCAGTCGTGGCCGACTCTGGGGTTGCGGCGCTCATCTCATTTTATTGGCCAAGGGAGCCGGCGTACAGCTTCCGGGTCATGTGGCCAGCATGACTAAGCCGCTTCTGGCGAACCAGAGCAGCGCACGGAAACGCCGTTTACCATCCCGCTGGAGCGGTACCTATTTATCTACTTGCACTTTGACGTGCTTTCGAACTGCTAGGTTGGCAGGAGCAGGGACTGAGCAACAGGAGCTCACCCTGTCGCGGGGATTTGAACCGGCAACCTTCTGATCGGCAAGTCCTAGGCTCTGTGGTTTAACCCACAGCGGCACCCGTGTCCCGTTCTTGCATTAGACTTCAGCTTTACAGTATAACAATAATTAAGGGGCTGTGTCCAATGTTAGTTCTTCTTAACCTCTGCTTAAAAACTGCCAACTAACTTTAGTCCATTAATTTCAATGTACCTACTCTGAGTAAAACTAACATTGGACACAACCCAATGTCTTTTACACCTCTTGTTTAAATCCCCCACTTTAAAATGCTTTGTACTCATTGACAGTTACCCTTGATTTCCTTTGCCCTTCATCAGCGAAAGACAAGCTGGACCTAAAGGCCAGAATACAGGCTATAAAGCAGCCTTCCCCTTGTTCTTTCCAGATGTTGTTAAACTATAGCTATCATCATCCCACCCTAACCTTTAGCCATGCTGGCTACAGCTGATGTGAGTCGGGGTCCAATTGCATCCGGAGGACATCACCATTATTATTTGTTTCATTTCTATACAGCTTTATGTTTATAAAGAAAAAAATAGTTGGATCTTTACAGAAGCAGATTTTAAAATTGTTTGTGTGTGGGGTTCATTTGGTAACAAGGGTGTGATGTAAATTAAACAAACAAACAAACAAACATTTTGTTTCTTACAAATTGGGGCCTTCAGGGCAGCATTGCCTTACTGTTAATTTTAACCTACAAAGGTTTACTTGTTATTGTGAACACAGAATTATAGACACCAGAAGTCGGAATGTAAACAATGTATGATTTGACCCTCTATAAGAAGTCCTTAAAAAGAAGTTGTGAGCAGACAAGATAACTATGTTGCTGGGTGTCCAATATAAATACTGCAAATGAATAAATTTTTAAAGGAAATAAAATTGTACAGCAACTTGTACAACACCCTAACCATCTGCTTTTGCTGAAGGCTGGTTGCTCTTTATGCTGAAATAGTGATCAGATTAGTGCTGCTTTCCTAAATATGTCTAATCTCATTTGATTCAAGCAACCAGGAGTGAAAGACCAATCTAGCAAATGTACATTTCCTGGACAAAGCTTATTTAGCAATTTATCTTGATAGCTTCACCATTTAATTAGCTAAGAGGAGTGAGTGGGAATTGTGAAGAATGGGTTTGAACTGGGTGACAGAATCAGAAGTTCTTAAGTTTTGATCTGAAAAGCACCTGCTATGTTTCTATCTGCAATACTGTCTATCTGCACAAACGGTAGGGATAGTTTATGCACAGGGCTGACGTAAGACAGTTTGGCACCTGAGGCGAACCCCAAAATGCCCCCTGCCAGGGAAGAATGAGTGAGTGAAGATCTACATCTGGAACAAGGGTGGGAGGAGACGAGCAGTGCCTTCTATTATCCGAGAGATGGTTTTAGAGGTAGCATTGGGAGGGCAGCTGCTGAGGCAGTATCAGATGTGGAGATTTGCATTCCTTGGCAGATCTGCTTTTCTTGGATGCCAGACCTGCTGCTCCTGTGGATCCTGCCACCTGAGGTGGTCACCTTGCCTTGCCTCATGGGTGGGCTGGCCCTGTTTGTGCATAAATATGCATGTCAACCATGTAAGAACAAGGGAATTTAGGGGCATTGCAAACATACAGGGACAAGTGTGGGTTTGCCACCAAGTTACCCAGTGCTCCTTGACAAGTGCACTTCTACGACACACGTATTTGCAAACACATGTTGTCACATTACCACTTAACAACTTTAGGTGTATCTTTAAGACGCTTTCCCAGTATGTGCCTAAGAAATCTACAATGCAATCTGATACATGCTTCCTCAGAAGCAAGCCCCATTGAGTTCAAAGGGACTCACTGCCAGGGATAGAAAAGCTGTGGTATTCCAGATGTTATAGGACTACAGCTCCTATAACCCCTGACCATTTTCCATTCTGGCTGGGTCTGATGGGAGTCGGAGTCCAACAACATCTGGTGAGCCACTGGTTCCCCATCCTGACTGTGCACGATTGCAACCTTCATGCTCAAACTATGTGTACTAATTACAGTGTTGCTTCATCAAGAGATGGGCATTTCTTTTGTTCGGTCTTTCTCCTTGCTATGAAGTTACAAGAGCCACTGTGTACTTTCCTATGTATTTAGGAAAATTCCAGGAAGCATGAGATCATGGATAGCTTCTGAGATCTTTTCATAGTTCAGAGGAAACTAGCACTAGCAAGAACACCCCATGGAAAACATACTACCAGCTTGTAAAATGCAAGCCATTTGAAACAAAGCAGTTAGTTTGTCAATATGGCACCTTGCTTAGATTCAAGAGACAAGGTTAGTCCCTAGGCTCCTGGAATTTTGCATGGACCTTTCATACTGTATGGTGGTATTCAGGTTCCCTGACATATTTATCTTTTGGGGGGATTTGATCTTTACTGAACATGGTGAGGTAGAGTTATATTGTACCATAACAGTAATTTGTAACTTTACAAATACAGTGGTACCTCAGGTTAAGAACTTTATTCGTTCCGGAGGTCCGTTCTTAACCTGAAACTGTTCTTAACCTGAGATACCACTTTAGCTAATGGGACCTCCTGCTGCCGCCGCGCGATTTCTGTTCTCATCCTGAAGCAAAGTTTTTAACCCGAGGTACTACTTCTGGGATAGCGGAGTCTGTAACCTGAAGCGTCTGTAACCCGAGGTACCACTGTACTCAAAGCAATGTATCAGTTGAAACTTCCAGAGATCTGCTTTGCTGACTTGGTGTGGGGATCCTTGTAGGTTTTGCTTTTATTATGGCATCTTCAAGATAATACAAATGCAAAAGTCTAAGACCATATGCACAGAGAGGTGGTATCACCACCCCAGTTATTTCCTTAACAATAGCAATTCATCTTAGGACAAGAAAAGGTTTACAGCCTGCCTCCTAATTTGGAAATATTTTAGTCAGTATTTTATGAGGACCTATCCTTGGTACCATCTTCTTATGTTTTGGAAACTTCATTTCTTTCTGCTTTTTCACTCTTCCTCGGCAGCTAAGTCCAGTTTCTGCTCAGTTGTTTCATCAGGAGGGAGAAAGGAGGGAGAAAATGGAGCCTTTTCTGGTTTGAGCCTCTGCAGACGGCATGACAATAGACAACACTTCATTGCTATCGTGAATTAATAAAAACATTTTTGCTAGTTCTTTCTGCATTTTGTATATTACAAAACAACATGCTTTCTCCTTCATTGCTTTGGAAGCTGAATGTGCAAAGGATATGAGCTCAGATTTGACTCTAAGGCAACAGAGGACAGCACAATCTTGGCAATTATACCAGAAGGGTCTGAAAAGCAGTAGGTCTCATACATGGCATTTGTATGTTCTGGCCTATAAGTGGGTTGCATCCTGTCATGGAAGGCTTGGAGGACATTTCCTCAAGATGACAGACAAGGACTCTTTTATCACAGAATAGAAACAGGAAAGCATACCTTCGCCAGTAAGTTAGTGGATTTTCAATGCTGTGCTCCTGGGGCTCCTCAAGAGCATATTGTGGTTCCTCTAGGAGCAGATACATAACAGCAGACAACTCTTCCAGAAAGACAACTTGCACACCACTTCTGATCATCCACAAAAGAGTGGAACCACAAGGGAGTGTTGGTTGTTCTCGGGTAGACTCCCATGAAGGGGTGTAACGAAGCTCTACTGCCCCCTGCAAACTGAGTGGACCCTTTAGGACTTTCTACAGGATTCTCTGTGTTATGTGGGTGGTTCCACGGCAAGGTGCATGGGTGTGTCTCAGGAGAAATAACCTAGTTCAGTGGTAGAGCGGATGCTTGCTTGTATGCAGAAGTTGCCAGTTTCAATCCCTGCTGTCTCCAGTTAGAGGCAGCAGGTAACGTTGAATATTTTTCTCTGCTCTCGATTCTGGGAGAGCCAGTAACAAAGAAGACCCTTTGGGAGAAGTGGTCTCAGCAGGTGGAAGTCTGTTTCCTCTGTTCCTCAGCAGACAAACTGGTGTGGCATGTGGAAAGGGAGTGATTTTGTTGCGCATGTAATGTAATTTGAATGTCCTGTACCTACCTTGCTTTCCTGCCTTCTGGCTACCGCACTTGGTTCATCTGAAATGAGGAGACAATTGTTTGCAGTGCTTTAGTCATCTATAATCCTCTCCAAAGCTCCCTAAAGGCAAAGGGAGGTTTTCCTCTTAAGCTTCAGTAGCCTTTGAAATACATTCCTGGGTGTTAAAATAATTTATTCTAAGGGAACTTTAGACTGCAGATGTTGCTGAATGGTTTTGTGGTGTGCGAAGAACGGAGGAGGGAGGGATGCGACCATTTGTGACTCTACCCTGTATGATTGGTATGGGAGGAGGAGAAGAAGAAGAGGAGGAGGAGGAGTAGTTTGGATTTGATATCCCACTTTATCACTACCCGAAGGAGTCTCAAAGCGGCTAACATTCTACTTTCCTTTCCTCCCCCACAACAAACACTCTGTGAGTTGAGTGGGGCTGAGAGACTTCAGAGAAGTGTGACTAGCCCAAGGTCACCCAGCAGCTGCATGTGGACACCAGATTACGAGTCTACCGCTCTTAACCACTACACCACACTGGCTGGGAGACCCCCAAAGGTTACCCAAGAAATCTTCTAAGCTCTTTGACCTTTGTCCTGATATTTTCTTCAGATACTGATTTTAAAAATGTAAGGGCTTAGGTTGTCCTCTTTCTTGAGAACAGACGGAGGGCAAAAATATGAATCATTACACCAGCTTTCAGGCTCCTTCACAAAGGTAGTCGCTGAGCTAAAAGCCATCAGTTAGCACAGGGACGTGTCCAGGCAAAGTTCTTGCCAAACCGATTCCTGCACTCTTCCTAACCCTGAACCTTTCACGCTCAAAATCTCTGGCTTACAAGACATCCTAAAAGGCCACTCAGACCCACCCTCAAACCCAGAGCAATAGTTTGAATCCAAACCAGAATTGCAAATTCACTTCAAACAGCAGCTTGGATGTAAACTGTAGCATGTGGAAACTATAGTTTGCCCAATCTGGATGTCACAGCAAACTATGGTTAGCACAAACTAGGCAGTGAGAGGGGGAATTGGAGCAGGGAAGAGAAAGAGGGTGGAAGGAAGAAGCAGGCAAGTCCAAAGCAGATTCATAACAGCAGGTTGAAATCCCCCTCCACCACGTATAATATAACCTATGGCATTTATTCCATAAGTGGGGCTGAATCACACAATATTTCCATATTTTTTTGTGGGGGGCATAATTTGAGTCTTGAAGTGTGATGAAAGGATGCACCCAATTAGACAGAGGGAGGTGGCCACTTCAGGCAGATTTTTGGTATTATGAAAAGGTAGCTAATAAGAATATTTATTCATTTCAAAAAATTCACAATACTTGATTTTTAAAAGAAAACCTCAAAGTGGTTTACAAAAAGGATAACAACAAAGGTCCTTGTGGCCATATCTGCCTCAGATGTCAAAACAACTTGACTAGTCTTGGGTGCTGTGCATATTTTCAACTAAGTTTTCCTCAGAGTAGATCCATTAAAATGAATGGACCCAACTTAGGCTTTGTACACATTCCCATTTACATACTACTGATGTCTGAAGTACACATGATATTAGCCAGAATTCATCTGTATCCTGTAGCTTCTTGAGTAACACTCCTGCTGGATTCACTTTCCCTCAAACCAGCTCCAGTCCATCTGATTAGAAAACAGAAGCTGCAGTATTCAGCGCAGGGATGAAATAATGCGTATCAGGCGAAGACAGCCCTGCACCCTGGTTTGCATAGGAACATAAGAAAGCAACTTGAAATGCAATTGAGGGAAACGACCTCACTGTATTTCAAGCCACTAACATGTACATAGTTTTCTGTCACATAACTCTCTGTTCCAGTTCAGAGAAGGTTACACAGCGAACCCAAAGAGGCAACATATCTGCAGCATCTTCTTCCCTCAGCGCCTAACCTTTCTCCTATTTTTGCTTGCCCCAAGGATCCCCAGCGAGGCTCCTGACTGTATTACCTCATCCCTAGTAAGTGTGCTTAGGTAGGATAACTCTTTCTTTACAAATTCCAATTTCCCTTTCTCAAGGGTAGTTTTCCATTAGGGAAAGGAAGCCCTGGCTGTGCAAAACTGGTTAGGAAACAGAGCTTTTGAACCTCTATTTTGCTTGATTATTTGTCCTTACACCCCCTTTTCAAAGGGAAATCCCAGGCCTGTTCACCTTGGCACACACAGCAAGGCTGTTGTTTTAAAGTTAACAATCCCAGTTCCATTCCAGCAGCACAACTGATTTCCAAGACAGGAAAATGGCTCGGGTTTTGGGGTGGGGGGGCTTTCACCAATTTCTGCCACTTGAAGCAGTTGCCTCACTCTGCCTGACAGGCCCTGACACAAACTGCTAGCAGGCCATTTCCAGCATGCTACAAATACTCATCTGAGCATGAAGAACAATGGTGAGTCTTCTAGCAGATTTCCTGCCCAACAGGAGACACCAAAGTTCCAGCTGGGGGTGAGATGAGATGACTTAACTGTGTTGTTTTAATGATAGAGCTTTGAGAATATCACCAGGAAACCAAAATGTGTAGCAGCAAAGAGTCATGTTCGTACATGACTGAGGGGGGAGTTTGCCTGGTGGAGGGGCGAACGGGCGACTTCTAACACAAGACCTTCGTAAGAAACACCTCTTTATAATAATTGCAGCTTTAATTTTAATTCTGAAGCGGACTTGCTGATCCAAAGGGTGTTTGAAATGCTGAGGCAGTTGCTTGTGAGAGGGTATCATTACCAAAACATCGTCCTGAGTTGTGTTTCACCCTCAAGCTTATCTGTAGTATATGATCCAGCGAAAACGTGGGCATGAGCTGCATATTCAAGTCTGAGAGCAGAGTCTGCTCACCACAGACCATGTGAATAGTATCTTTTCAAGTGGCCAGAGTTTTTGTGTGGCAAACAATTTGTCAGGATCGTGGCTAATGGCCCCTGGTTATGGCAGCTCCGCACAATGATTTGAACAAAGTAAGTTTGGGGATTATAAAGTATGAATGGGGTTATTGATGGGCTGTTCGGTGAGTTATTTGATATGGCCTCTGCCTACTTGTAAGCAGAAGCTAAAGTACTCGTTCAGGCTGATCTGGGCTATTGTTGAGGAGGAGCGGGGGAACCTCTTGTCTCATTTCAGACTGAAGAGTATGCGTAATGTCTGTGACAGTTTGAGCCCTCAGAGAAGCAACTGGTTAAACAGAGTAGTCTATTCAGATAAAGCGGAGAGATTCATTCAGATGGAAATAGCTTCTGCAAGCTGAATGGTTATGAAGTATAAGTGGAAAGAGCAAACAAAAGGGGAAGCCGCCTCAGATGGATGCAAATTTTCAGCGCCTCAGCTAATGCAGACAGACAAGTCTCTTTTGCTTTGAGCAGCACTTTCCTGGTTTGTACCTGCCGAGATCTGACCCAGAGGTGTGTTTTTTCCCTTCCTCATGACACTACAATTCCACTGGGGCAAGGCTCGGTGCTTCAGGAAGGCATTTTTTAAAGGAGGCAATTAAACAATTGCAGGCCCTGTTGTGGAGAAAATGAAACTGCCTGCAGTTGAAATGAAGGTGTGCTATTGCTACGAAGGTTGCGCTCCACCCCCAATCTCTGTTGAGTTGTAGCAAAATTCCAGGGAGTTCCAGGCCGTGTATCTGTTGGGAATTAAGACGCAGGGGGGACTTTAAGTAATGTGGTTTATTTTACACTGGAAGCTTTCAATGGAGGGAGTGCAGAGTTGATAGCATCCACATCCCAAGAGGGGTTTGTTCCTTACAGCAGGGCAGCATCTAATTCCAAGGCATCTCCGTGTCTCTGTCCCAGCCTGCCTTCAGCCAGCCTGTGAAGATGGTTCGGACCTTCAGCTGTCGCATGAAATCCTCCCTGCTTCCTTCTTGTTCTCAGAACACCTTGCCTTTCTGTCTGCTTGCCCTGCCCCTTTGCTATTCCAAGTCTAGATTTAAAAGGTGACCATTTTCCTGTAACCGTACGTCTTCCCTCTGCATAACCTTGGCAACCTCCATTGCCACAGACTCAAGGATTTTCCTGTGATGGGATATCAACACTGTTTGTTATGCTTAACAGCTACTATCCCCAAGCGAGACCTTGGACTGAAAAGGGAGTTTAGCCTGTATTTTTCCACTGGCCTGCATCTTCCTTTCAATGCACCAAATATTATCTAAATTCTACCGTTTTAATAAGTTTTAACACTCACTAACTTTAGCAATTATGGGTGCCCTTGCACCCCCAAACTCTGTTACCCCAAATCTGTAACAATATTGTTAAACTCCACCCCCAGTCTCCACAGCAGTGCAAGATTCCAGACAGTTTCAGGTGCTTACCAAGTGCCTGTGTTTCCTTTCGGAAAATAATGAGGCACAAAGGAGACTCTGATGTCTTTATAATATATGGTTTATTTACACATATATAAAACCTGAGCCTACAATGGAGGGGTCCAGAGCATCAGCCTTCCAAGAGGATCTTGAAAGCATGAGATCTTCAAACTTTCTACTGCCAGGGTCCACCTGAGATTGCTGAAGATAACCAACTCCCACCAGTTACAAAATGGTGGTGCTGGGGCAAATCTGTCATGAAATGGTGGCACATGGAGGTAGAGTTTGGGATAATCAGGCAATTACTGACATCACTTTCTGCTGATGTCTAATTCATCTTTGAAAACTTTGAAATTCTTTGCCACGGCATCTTCCTTGTGGCAAGGAGTTCCATACTTCAGCTTTCCTCAAGCCAAGTACAGATATTTGCATTCCAAGTATTATGATTCAGCCTCCTAGTTTTAGGCAGAATTTGCTGATCCAAAGGTTCTAAGTAGAGAAGACTTTTTCATTTAGATATTTCCCCCCTTCCTACCCCCACATGCTTCTTAAACTATTTTTACCCATCTCCTGTGATTTCTTCTCCCATTCTCCTTTCACATTCAGTTTCTACCTTAATCTCAGTTTGACTGTGATTGCGGATGGCTCTGCACTTTCTTTTGAGGGAGGCCAAGAAGTGCCTAAACTGATCTTGGGATAAGATAGTGAAGTGTACCAAAGAGGGCACAATCTGCACCTACACGTTGCATTGGAACTTGAAATACAGATCCAGATTCAGTGCAGTTATTGCATCCAGCACATCTGCAGTATGGACAAAGGCATTTTCACAGTTCACCAGACACAAGGAAAGGTCTCAATAATGAACCAAACCCTCCGAGTGCCTTTCACAACCTGAATGACTAACTCTGCTCCAGGGGCCTTGATTATTCCATTGAAGTTCAAGTTTCAGAAGCCAATTTTTCTCCTTCCATTTTTGGAAGTGCTTCTAATTTAGGGATTTGGCTTTATTACAGCTCTTTCCCCCGTTTATAATTATTGTTCCTGCCTAATCAAATCTCCTGTGGGGGGAAGCGGTGCTTTATTTAGAATCTAAAACGTTTCTCACACTGCAGCCTAAAATCTGTTGTCTTTTGCCAAATGTTTCCAAGGCAATTTCTGTAGTGCATTTCGAACAAATTTATAGTCTGGTGTGACGTGTAGGAAGAAAATGCATTGCATGCCTTTGGGTTTATCCATTTGGCAGCAAATGCTGAGCTCTGATGAGTATGATGCTGTCTCAGCTTCAGGGCGTACAGAAACACTTGAAAAATGTCTGTCTAAATCCACTTAGCATGCTTTGCTACATTATGGTCAGCTTTTGTTTTTTAAAACAACTTTTTGGTATGCATGTCCAGGACTAGGGGCATGAAGATATTTTATCCATTCTTCAGATACTTTTTGTTTAGAAGAGATATTGAATCTTATTGAATTATATCATGGGCAATATTCTACTCCAGTGATTCTGAAACGTTTTATATTCAGGCACAATTTTATTTTTTTTACACTAAAAATGTGTACATTCTTTCAAGCAGGGTTGTGCCACCACATTTTGAAGAAGTACACATTTTGGAAAGCACATTGCCATCTAAATAATCCCCCCTATTACCTAACTGCACCACTGATCTCAGTCAGCTCTTAGAACTACCATTGCAACTGTGTGATAAACAAGTTATAATTGAGCCAGTTCGGATACAGTGATACTCGTTTCATATGAAGCTGGGAATGACTATTAGCCTTTCAAGTTCATTTCTCATACCTTCCCTCTCTCCTTCCTCATATGCTGGTTTTAGCACTTTGATCTCAGTTAAAGCAAATCCATTTCCTAATAAATCCAACACTAGAAATTCTGCCCAGTGGTGGATCTTGGGGTCTCAAATTTCAGCGGTGTCCTGTACAATGCTAAAACCCGGCGCCCCTCCACCTCTTGCAAAACTATTGTAAATCATATTTGTGGGGTCCCTGGCGTTGCCCCCAAGACTCAGTGCCCAGTGTGACTGCACCAGTCGTGCTCCCCCAAATCCTCTTCTGCTGTGGCTAATCAGGATCTGAAACCAGCATTAAAATGTGGTTAGTAAACTGACAGTAAAGCTACAGTTTCTCATTCCAGGCATAACAGAGAAACTGTGGTTTGTTTTAACCAGCGTTGAAGCCCTGGAGCCAGTGCATGATGGGTAAAAGTGCATCAGCTCAGTGTCTCTTAGTGTTCCACCTTCCCCTTTGCCCAGTGAGTCAAAGCACGGGTATTGGTATTGTGCTTTCTCCCCAATTCTGAGGCTTCTGCATCTCCTCTTATGTGAGCCTGCTGTTGTGCAGGTAGCACTAGGGAGTCTGGTGCATTCCTATTCACTTTCCTTGGATAATATCACTGTCCATACTGGCAGAGGGAATAGGGTCATCCATGGTACCAAGGGCTTAATGGCATGCTTCAGCCCCTCTTCTGGAATGTTGGAGTCTACTGACTGCCAGCAGCTCTTCATGGTCTCCATTAGCAGATCCATCCCTGCATGGCAGGGACTGAGCCTCAGGCCATGAATGGCAACATATTATTCTGTTAGTTAACTGCCTCTCTGCTGGTTATTGGTGCTTAAATGATGCTCATCAATTACAGTGAAAATAACGATCCTTGTGGCAGTTTCTCCCATGAGCTCCCATAAAAAAATGCCTTATCCTATCAGCTGTTGCTCTAAGACAGAAGCTACAATATAGCACAGAGGTCAGCAAACTTTTTCAGCAGGGGGCCAGTCCACTGTCTCTCACACCTTGTGGGGGGCCGGACTATATGGGGGGGGAATGAATGAATTCCTATGCCCCACAAATAACCCAGAGATGCATTTTAGATAAAAGCACACATTCTACCCATGTAAAAACAACAGGCAGGCCCCACAAATAACCCAGAGATGCATTTTAAATAAAAGGACACATTCTACTCATGTAAAAACACGCTGATTCCCAGACTGTCTGCGGTCCAAGGCGACTGGGCTGGATCCGGCCCCTAGGCCTTAGTTTGCCTACCCATGG